AAGAAGCGGAATTCCTTGCGGGCGGGCCATACATTCAGGCCGCCCAAACGCTGCTTGGGTCTGGAGCAGCAGAGGATGTGATCTACATCCGGGCTTACAGCTTAGATTGCCCATCCTGCATCGAGGCAATCGAAGCGTCGCTTGGCAAGGGCGCAAGCGTTCGGATTGTCGCCGACATGGGACAATGCCACCGCACCAAGCTTCAGTGGCAAGCGTTGAAACGCTTGGCGGCCGCAGGTGCCGAGGTGAAGGTGGGTTGCGGCACATCCTTGCGCGACGCCTATGCTCGCGACGGCCGCGGGGCTAAGGTAGGCACCGGGATTCAAGGGCTGCACCATGCCAAAGCCCTTTGCCTACTGCGGCCTGACGGCGCGGTGGTGCTGATTGGGAGCCTCAATTTTACCACAAGCAGCAAAGCCAATGCGGAGGCAGGGCTTAAGCTTGAGGTCCCCAAGACGCACCCTGTCGCGCAGTCCTACGTCGAGGATTTCCAGAGGGTGTCGGCTGAGGCATTCTCCCTCGATGAGGCGGTTGCAAAGCGCCCTCAGTTGGAGCGAGCCAGTAGCTCCAACGTTGCTGGCAACGCCACTCGTGCCCCCAACACTGCTCCACAGGGTATCGAGTAGGCTGCGGCCAGTTGGCGCGGCGTGGTATGCATCCACGCATTATCAGAGCAGGCGTTGCAGCACGACACGTTGCTTCGCCAACCTTTTGCACTTTCTTTTGCGTGACTGCGGGCGAAAGGCCGCGGCAGGTTGGAAGCCTGCCCATTTTGCATTCCCCGCACTTTTCTTCTCCGCCCTGCCTGTGGCCCCTCTTGTCGAGGGTGCTCTTTTGCAGGTGCTGCGGACCGTGTCCTGGTCGCGGCAGTGCGCTCGCCGAAGCGCGTGCGAGTTGCACTGGCTGCGGCACAAGCGATGTGCGCGGCTCTCGCTGAGTCCGGTAGCCCGTAGGGTAGTTCTGGATAGGTGAGTAGCCGTAGCCGTAGCTTAGGGCCGGTAGTTTGTACAGTGTACCATTTGTACCATAGTCTGCGTACTGGCAGCTAGAGACCAGCTCGAGGATTCAAGAGCCTCGCCCACCAGCAAAAGGGTGAGGACCTCCAGGGAAAGGGCGGTTTAGGGCTGCTGAGGGTTGCTGTCGTCGTGCGTTCGTTGTGGTGGTGCGGGCTAGCGTCCCTGCCGCATGCCAATGCTCATGATGTGCGGACCACCGCGGTCGCACGCGACACCCTCTCCCTTCCCTTTCTGTGTTCAGCGCGAGTGCCTGCTGCACTCCGAGCTCGGGATGAGCTGGAAGCCTCGGCTGAGGGGCGAATGTGAGCAGGTCTATGCACGCACGCTGCATGTGCAAAGCTGCCAGGGCCAGTACTGTAGTAGTTTTCCTTTGCATGCGTAGTTTTGCAATTCGTAACAATGCCAATGTTTTGGCTCAAGTACCGAGCTTGTGCCTTTGAGCACGGTAGTTTCGTACAGTAGCTCTTAGGTTGCTGTGCGGTCCGACCGGACGCACTCAGGCGTAGCTGCACAAGTGCTTGAACTCGCGAAGTCGTAAAACAGCGTGACCGGGCTGTGATTGCATTGGCTTAGTGCAAGTCCAGTGCTGGTCGACTTCACAAATAAATAAATATATATATATATATATATATATATATATGTATATTTATATTTATATCGCATATTGTATATTATATGTCATATACTGCATATCATGTATTGTAAATTGCATATTATATGCTGCATATACTGCACAATATAAAGTATATAATATATAATGTATACTGTATACATAAGGTACAATATATAAAATATATAATATTATTTATTTTTAATTAAATTTATTATTTATTATTCATTATATAGTATATTTAATATATTTTGTAGTATGTATTATATATTGTTCTTTGAAGCCATTGGAATGCAAAGAAAACGGAAGTTTTTTGCTTAAAACATGTAGAAGTAGAGTTTTTCCGATGGAAACATAGAGATAATAGAGGATTTCTCATGAAAACGTGAAGACAGTAGACGTTTTCTTGTGGGAGTATGAAGAAATAGAGGTTTTCCCATTGAAAGATCGAAACTAGAAGGTTTTCCAACCACTACCACCACTTCTACGCATCGTGCGAACATTGTTTGCAAATGGGGGGGGCTGCGCCCCCCCCAACCCCCCCGCTGTTTTTTTTTTTAAGCTGTGCAAAGCGTGCTGCAAAGCCAAGTGGGGGGGTGTGGGGGGGGGCGGGGGCCTGCGCCAACCCCAACCCCGCCGCGTTTTTATCAAGCTATGCCACTGCAAAGCGTGCTTTATGAATCTTGTTGAAGCCATTGGGATACTAAAGGTTTAAGTTTTTCTTAAAATACATGCAAATAAAGGTTTTCCGATGGAAACATAGAGATGATAGAGGTTTCCTATGAAAACGTGAAGAAAATAGAGGTTTTCTTGTGGGAATATGAAGAAATAGAGGTTTTCCTATTAAAAGATCGAGAAAATAGAAGGTTTTCCAACCACTACCACCACCCACTACTACCCATTTTTTTGCAAATGGGGGGGGGGGCTGCGCCCCCACCCCCACCCCCCCCAACCCCCCCCCCCCACCCCCCCCCCCCCCAACCCCCACCCCCCCCCCCAACCCCAACCCCCCCCCCCACCCCCCCCCCCAACCCCCCCCGCCCAACCCCCCCTCCCACCCCCCACCCCCCCCACCCCCCCCGCCCCCCACCCCCCCCCCCCCCCCCCCCGCTGTATTCCAAGAGGAAATGGTTATTGTTTTTTTTTGATCCCTTGGGGTTATTTTTTTTTTGATGCTTATTTATTTTTTTTTGATCCTTCACCCCAGACTTGTGGCCGCACAAGCGCGCTCGCTGCAGCACATTGTCCTGGGCACCTTCAAGGTTGGTCCATGAGACCAGAGATACTCTGGATTTGTACGGATATGCGGTCGGGTCTCAAGGTTGGGGAAGTGCAATTCCGCCACTCCTTTTCGTCTCGTCCACTGGCCTCTCGGTCCAAAAGTGCGTCACTGTTCGAAGGAGCTGCTCCCGTGTTGAACCCCATTTCAGATCGTTATGCACTGCAACAACTCTTACTGTCCGCCCCAACGAGGCAGAGCGTCCTGATTGTGAACCTTCATCTTCCGAAGAATTTCAGTTTTGAGATTTGAAGTTGAGATTTTCTGAAGGAGTGAAGTTTGTACCGAACCGAGAGAGCCCAAAGCAGTGAGCTCACAAAGGACGTAAGTTGCAGCCCTTATGGATACAGTAGCCGCCCCTGAGAACCTGGCAGCTCTCTGCTGAGGTGCAGCAGCTGAGCTTGAAGCGGCATGTTCTGAAGACAAAAGCTTCAGTTGTGCTGGGTTTCGAGACGAAGCGCAGACTCATTGGGTACTCTCAAAATAGGCACCAAGGGGCATACTTGGTAGTAATTGTGAGTATTTGTGAGTAAGTGTGCGTTGAGGTTGAGAGGTTGAGGCTTCAGGTGCTGTAAATCCACGTGTGCCTCAGAGCCGCATTGTTGTTGGCATTATTCGGGTAACCCTACCAAAGAGGGTCGTTGAATTGCGAGCATTCAACCGAGCGCAACATTAAAGATGTCTTACTGCATGAGATGACTGACTAGACATTCCTCAGCGTTTTGGTTCTACGACTGGAGAGAGTACGAGTTACTGGACGAACGCAGGCTCATCATCTGAGAAGTGAGAGTCCCGCCATTGCAGCAACTCGTATGTCAGACCCGAACCACACTTGTCAACTGGGGTTCAGCAAGACGCGCTCTGCAAAGCAAAGAATCCAGGATGTCCAGCACGGCATTGGAGTGGAGGAGTGGGAGGGAGGCAGTAAGTACCATGGCCAGCCGGGGCCCCAACTGTGTAGAGAACTGTCGATAAGACAAAGAGGCACCTCCAATTCTTGGGGACCTCTCCAAGAGATGGCTCTCGGGGTGTCTTGCATTTTGGTGGGCGAAGTTCGGTGTTCGCTCTCGGGGTTCCATAAAAGGCTTCGCATGACGAAGCCCTAGATGGAGCTTACAGCGAAGATTTTAATCGGCCGAGCAGGCGTGAGGGATCCTTTGGAGGGAGATGCATTTAGCTTTGCGGGTCTTGCGTACGCAGGCCATGACCGCCCCACCAGCTTCAAGACTCGTCTTCATGGCGGAGCGAACGTCAAGACTTGTTTTTAGGATAGCACGAGGCTCCTGCCGTGTGCTCATTGGGCAAGAAAGAGCCAACATCGAACTCAGACTCCGCTCCCCCAGCACGCGCTCCCCCTGCCTTTGTTCCAGCAGCACGGCACTCTTCGCTGTTGGGGTGAACTGACCTTTTGCCTTCTGGTAGCCCCGAGGCTGATGAATGAGGAGAGGAAGTCCTGCATGCAAAAAAGAAGCTGGGAGGCAATCTGGCCCCAAAGGTCCAGGGCTATTCGGTAGTGCGCTGCCCTGCACCATATTCCATCGTTCACACAGCATTGACAGTTGGAGGGCTCCCGTCTCGTCAAATCCACTCCGTTGGGAGCATGGCCTTGCTTTTGGCTGACGGGCGCGGAGCAATGCGGAGCAATGCGGGGCAAGGCGGAGCAAGGCGGAGCAAGGCGGAGCAAGGCGGAGCAAATCGGAGCAAATCGGAGCAAGCGGAGCTGCGGAGCAATGCGGAGAAAAACATTCCCCCAAAGCTTGCAAAGAAACCATTCAAAGACCTCTCGCGGCCCCGCAACACCAGAAACCCCCATTCCAAAACCCCGACAACCCCGAAAGCCTAGGTTTAACTGGGGCAAGAAGGAGGGCTTTGGCAGATGCCTCAGCTGCAGCTGGGTGGGCTTCGTATGTTTGAGTCACTATATCGGTTCTAAGGGCTAGAAGGCGTGCATGCGGGTGCGAGGTGCAAGAGGTGCGAGGTGCCCCCAATGTTGTGCGGACAATGGGTGAACCGAGAGTGTGACTAGTGGCCTGGTTATGGTTGTTAACAGGATATGGGGCCTATAGGGCCCATAAGAGGGGGTGGCAAGTCCGATATGCGCTTTCTGTTTCCTGTTTCTGCAAGCAGTTCGAAAGTCTTTACTCAGGGCCAAGGGAACTCCTGTTCCACACGGGGCCGATTACTGGGCCCTTCTCGTGCCTTGTGGCGTATCCCAGAACCTCTGCATCATCCCTTGGGAGATGGGGCCTCGAAGGGGCCTAACCATCGGGCGCCTTGCCCACTTTTTGTCCGTCGACCCTTGAGCCACTACCGGGGCAGGCACCTACACGTGGCCTGATGGCTCCATGTGCGACCATTCGCAGCCGTGTTGGGTTGTTTCAGAGTTTCACCTTGTTTCAAGCTGGTTTAAGGGGGAATTTGGGCTGACGAACACCTGAATGTGTCTGCATACTTGTGGGCGCAGAGCTGATGTCAGGGCACATCGAAGCTTGAAGAATGAGAGGCAGCCTTAGGCCAGCCTAGTGCGCAAACCTTACTGGTCCGTGTCCAGGCATGTCCACACACGGTCCACACCCTCTCCCGCAGGTACATGGGCCAGTGGGAAGCCAACGCCATCAATGGCCGTGGCCATTACATGGGCCGGGACTGGCTCACAGCATCTCCCATCCTTCACATTTCCTTCAACTCCCCTCCCCCCCATGTGCCACTGACCCAGCTCTAGAACAGTGTAAAACCCGCTGAGCTTCCCTGATGCCCTCTCTCTCTCTCTTTCCTCTCCCTCCCTCCCTCCCTCCCTCGCTCGCTCGCTCGCTCGCTCTCTCTCTCTCTCTCTCTCTCTCTCTCTCTCTCTCTCTCTCTCTTCCCCCAATCCGCGAGGACGGCCGGGAGCGTGGATCTGAGCATTTAGACAAAAGAGCCCATAGGACGTTGCTAGAGCAGGTCTCTGCGGGACTACTTGGGATTTCATGTGAGATTCATGTGGGGTCCAGTTGGAAGGGCCTCGAGCGGAGGGGCTCCAAGGCACCGCAAGCCCCCCAAGCTCTGGGTGGCGGAAGGTTGTCGTGGTGTGGTTCCGTTCCTAGTTGCCCGAGCTGCCTGGCTTCGTTTTGCTGGGGGTTTGTGGTTCATGTCAGAGGTTAGGCTAGCGCGGAAGCATCCCTTGGTGCTGGGTGAGGTGCAACGGCCCGGGAAAAACTCCTGCAAGAAACTTGGAACTAGAATTCACCGCGAACCTAAAGGCCGATCCACCCATAAACCCCACAAAAGCATCATCTTTCGCTGGAGGTTCCAGGGCATGTGGCGTGGTGCGGTAATCCACGGATGTGGGCGCTACTCCTGGCCTGACGGCCGGACGCGCTGAGCTCAGCCAGAGCCCAGAGCCCACTTAAGGGAGAGAGCAGAGTTATGGCTAGTAGCCCTGGCTGGTGACGGCTAGTGCGGCTCGTGACGGAGGTAGGGTTCTACTGAGTCTATTGCCTTGTGTGGTTATAAACTTGTGGTTGACCGCGAGCAAGTTTCGGAGAAGCGGATAAACCCACCACCCCTCCATAATGCCCGGCCGAAGCGAACTGAAGTAATTTCTTATTCGCATCATCATCCCCGCCCTAAAGCAAGCAATCTGACAGGCGCTATACAGTCCGCTGCCCGCTCCCCTCTTGTTCGCTGGAGTACAAATGGCATCATTCTTGCCCGATGCTCTCTTGTCACACCTGCTTGTGGTATGTGGAACTGTCCTATCGGGTAGTCTCACACATTAGCTCCGCAGCCGAAAGTTAGCTTGCACATCTGAGGGGTCGAGGCTGGAGCTAAGCGTCGGGAGTTGGGGGTGATGAGTTCGGTCGAGCCCGTGCCCCGTGAACGAGTCGTTCACGTTGAGGCCTCGTTACGGGGCATGTGCACAGCAGACTCCCATGAAGGAAAGATGAAACGAAGGATGGGAAAAGGAGGGCGAGAGAAAGTGAAGAAAGGATAATAAGTGAAGAAAGGATGGAGGGAGGGAGGGAGAGAGAGAGAGAGAGAGAGAGCAGGATAGAGCGACACCAGCGTCAGCAGCTGAGGGAAATTTTCCAGATGGTGGGCTTCTACAGAGCCCCTCCCCATCCCACTAGCTTACCAGGCCAGCAAGCTGCTGCGGAACCACCCAGCATACCAACAATTAGCCCAAAGTCCCAGCGAGTCCCAGCAACCACACCCGCACCAGCAAGCGCAACCAGCGCCAGCGCAAGATGAACCAAACGTGGCTCAACAACCAGATGGAGACGAAGGAGAGGAAGAGCAACCAGGAGAAGCCACCCAACCCGACCAGCCGGGGGATGCCCAGCACAAAGACGATGAGGAGCAACCAGGGGAAGCCACCCAACCCAGCCAGCAGGAGGATGCCCAGAATACAGACGATGACAGCGCGCAGGCAACTGATGACATTTCAGAATCAAAGAATGGGGGAAGCCCACACAACCGCCATCAGGCCCATGCTGGCGAGGGAGACATACGTGCACGCAACAAGCAAGAAACAACTGCGCAGAAAACGCGAACTACAAAGAGTACATCCCACCACCCCCGCTGGGAAGCCCAGACTTCCGTCTTCACCCCACAGTCAACCAGCAATGGCGAAGACACCAAGAGAACATTGCACGCAAGCTGCACGAGCAGCTGGACTTCGCGGAACTGCTCAACAAGCATAAGGAAGGGAGAAGTGAACAAACTCGGGCGACAGCCCCGCAGACAGGACACAGCAGCAGCAGCAGCAGCAGCAGCAGCAGCAGCAGCAGCAGCAGCAGCAGCAGCAGCAGCAGCAGCAGCAGCAGCAGCAGCAGCAGCCGCAGCAGCAGCAGCAGCAGCAGCAGCAAACCAAGGGGGAAACCCGCATATGGTGGCAAGACCCTGGCCAACACAACGCACTACCAGCCCAGGGGCGCCAGCCCCGAGCTCATACCAACCCCCCACAGTGCCACTGGTCCCGCACAGCGCCATCGAGATGACACAGACACAAGTCACAAGTCCCACACCAATGGAGCTTCCGCGTCACACAACCCAAACCAGCGGACGCAAGCAAAGCAGGACAAGCAGCAATAGCAGAAAGGAAGGAAACACTCCGGCATGGTATTCCCCCGGGGACGACCGGCACCATCACCCTTACCCAAGGACAAACCTGGGAAATGGCAATCCGCACTACACCTACGGCGGAAGAAATCGAGCGGATTCCGGGTGGACCATACAGACAACTCCAGGGAGAGTTCTCACCCTTAGGGATGCCAACGCGCCGGATCTGAAGCCCCCACACAACCAACGCAAGAGCGAGCCCTAAAGAGAACAATCCGCCAACACCGCAAGGGCCAGTACTGCAGCAGCCAAAGGCGAAGCAACCAACTGCAAAGCCACCGCCAAAAGCCACTAGGCAACCGCAGATCAGGGGAGCTCCAGAGACAAAGCAACCTCTCGGGGAAAGCAGTTGGAAATTCCAACGTCCGAGCTACAATCTCACAACAGGACAGGATTCGGGCGCGCTTCTGCGAGGGGTCCGCCTGGGCTCCTTCAATCCCAGCAGAAGAAGAAGAATAAGAAGAAGAAGAGAGGGCCGATACAGTAGGAAGCACCTGGGCCAACGAGCCGGGTTACAATGAACGGGAAGCAGCACAAGGGAAGTGTGATTCATGCCTGGATTGTGTGTTAGGGTTTGCAGTTACAGGGAAGGTTGCTCCCCAGTCTCACAGAGAAAGAGGGTGGACGCGGGGTGATGAGCAATGACGAGTCTGAGGTCGTAGATAAGCAGATGCGAATTGAAACGCAATGCCAAAACTCTACACCTTGAATAGCATGCGAAGCTGCATTCCTGACTGCACTTGCTGTGACTTTGGCAAACTGCCTGAAGTTGGCATGAACCCGTATCTTAAGGGCATAAGAAGTCCCAAAGACCCGAGCCCTAAGACCACTCAGTCTTTAAAGTTTCCAGGTTCAAGGGCAACTACTTTGAAGACCAGAAACATGGCTTCGGCACCTTCACTTGGCAGGCGCGCTGGGTTTGGAGAAAGGCGCTAAGAAGCTTTGCGCAAAGATTGTGTGTGGCAAGGGTGTTTCAAAGCCTAAGAGGCGCGCAAGGAAAACAACCGTACCAACCTCAGCATCTCGGAGCCCTCATCGCCATGGGGTGCAGGCGTAACGAAGTGTCGGTTTAGCTAGATGTAGGCACTCGCAGCAAATTCCAGGGTGATGAGGGGGATGTATTCCTGGGAGTGCACGTCGCTGCAACTCTCACCCCCACCAGCCTGTACGCGGCTACTCAGGGCCTGTGAGCTCTTGGCATTGTGCCACTCAATAGCAGCCGGTCGGCCAGTCTGGAGGCTCCCTCGCAAAAAGCCGTAAGCTTCCGAACCAATCAAAGATCCCAACTACCCCAAATCGCAACAACTGTAGCCGCAAAGACCTGCAATCGCCCTCTCATCGGCCTGCCATCGCCGTGCCGTCGCCGTGCCATCGCCCTGCAATCCTTCAGAGGACGGCCGGCGCTTCGATGGCTTCTGGGCCCAGGGGAAGCAGCATGGCCATGGGGTGCGCGCTGCGCAAAGTTCCAAAGCCCGAAAGTCCCCAAGTCCCAAAAAGCGAACGGATTCATGTCGCGTTTAGCTTTGACATGTCAATGAGTGTTTCGTTTTGTATTATTTTGGGGGGGAGGGATAGGGGCTGGCACCTGACCCATCTCGTCTAATGCACGAGTTGGATCCTGGACAGATGAGCTTCGCAACCCCGCGTTTCTGATCTACGGCACTTACTGTAGGTTCTGTGGATTGGGGTGAGGTGAGGGGATGTTTCTTAGGACGGTCTCTTGGCTGCTGGGGTTGGGTGGTTGCCGGAACTCGGCAATGGCGAGTGGGGCTGTAACTCACGAAAGGCCAATGAAGGCCAAAAAGCCTTTTGCTTCTTTGGACAACCAGCGAAGAAGCTGATAAATCGTAACCCAGACTCAAACCCAAAAACCCAATTTTCCCGGTCCAAGCTTTCGACACCTGGACCATACCTTCTGCACTCTCGTCACTATGCCAGATCACGTACAAAGCGGACGGAACGTCGCCAGCTGAGACGGAGAAAGGCGGCGGAACGGAGCGAGGTTTAGGACTGTAGGTTCCACCCTGTAGAGTCAGAGCCCATTATTTTCATTATCCGCTGAGGCTTCAGGCTTAGCATGAATTCCCCTGCAAATGAAGAGGAAAGTTCCCAGTTGCCGACTCCGTGCTCTCCAAATCCAATCCTGGTGCACATTGGTGTACAAAGTTTCTAATTGGAAGCCCCGAGCCGCCCGAAACAGCCCCCGAAACCTCAAAATTCCCCAAGGCCCCCCCTTAGAATAGCCTTCAAAGCACACAGGGAGGGCCTAAACTCCGAAGGCCCCTCATTTTTTGGATCCAAGGATTCTCAAGGAGGGCGTTTGGAAGCGAGGGCCCACCCGGCACGGTGCTATGCGAGACATGCGAGACATGCGAGACATGCGAGACATGCGAGACATGCGAGACTATAAGTAGGGGAGAACGAAGAGTTAAGAAGAGTTAAGACTTCTGCAGGGTTCAGGGAGGGCAGTTCTGGGTTGGGAGGGTTGGAAGGCTTTGAGGATGTGACACACGTTCGGGCTACAGGACATCACAGCATAACCCAGAAAGAAGGCAGCTTTCTCAAGTCTGAGGGCCGACGAAAAGAAGGTTGACACTGGTGCTCTGGTGCTCTCCCAGGGCGTGGGGGGGGCGCGTGAAGCGCTACGTGATTTGGCTTGCTCCTCGTCGTCAGCCGTGGAGCGCAGAGCAGATGTGGGGTACAGTGAACATGTAGTCAACCTAGTCCCCGGTTTCAGCCGTGAAGACATTCACAAAACGAACTGATGCCAGGCAGTTTGCCCCAGATGCGCCGCGCGGGGACCAAGAAGTTGCTACATGACACAAGGTTTCGAGCGTTGCGGCTCCCGAACCTACGACCGAAGCATCGAGCAATGTATGTGAAAAAGTTCTCATTGCGAGCGGGAACGGCGTCTGCCGCACCGCCCGCCAGATGGCGCAGGGGGCGCAGAAGGCACAGAAGGCGCAGATGCCGCAGCGGGCGCAAGTGGCGCAGGCGCAGGATTGCAAAGGCCAAAAACAAAGGGCAAGGGAGCAGAGGGTGCAGAGGGCGCGGGTGGCGAAGGGGGCGCAGAGAGCGCAGAGAGCGCAGAGAGCGCAGAGAGCGCAGAGAGCGCAGAGAGCGCAGAGAGCGCAAAAGGCGCGCGGCCAAACATCAGACACGCTTTCCGCCCACACTGGAAATTCTGTGCCACAAGCCTGATACCGTCTTCTTCAAGATCAAGCGCTTCCTTCGCGGCATTTGAGCACGTCTGAAAAACATATCATGAAACGCCATGTGAGTCTTTGTCGTCCTAGGTGGGTCGAATGGCTTTGCAAACGAAGAGCTACACCGTGGGATATGAGTTCTCGCAGCGAAGTCGACTTTATTCTCCGCACGAGGTATAAAGGAGCAGAATTCAGCTGATGATTTCCATCACCCTTCGACACGCCAACTCAAGCCCCTGAAGTGCGAACAAACTTCAGAGCAACTGGAAGGGCAGCGACGATGAGGTTCAGTTGTGGTCAGGCTTGTTGCGATATGACCCTGAAGTGGAAAAGCATGAGGGTCGCAGGGTCCGGCTGGTTTTTGGGTCACGAAGGAGTGAGAATGTAAGAGGAAAGCCTTGAAAGCGCAAAAGCCAAAGAGGTCGCCTGCAACAGCTGCGCCAGCAAAGGCGGAGGCTGGTGCCAAGATTGCAGAAGACGCCTCAAGTGTAGCCCCGTGTTGCGAGATGATGATCATGATGATCAGCAGGAGGAGGAAGGAGGAGGGAGGAGGAGGCTCATGATCAGTATGGTGTGATGATATGGCCCCAGCTTTCGTTTTTTCTCGGGGGTGGCTTTATGTCAAAGATAGGCCTTCAGGACGAGCGTATAGCGGTCAATGTTGAGGTTGTAAGCTGAGCTGCTCTCTTTGGATCTATCGGTTTCAGTACGTTTCAGTAACTCCAAGCAGTCCATTTTCTAAATATGCTCGGCGCTATTTGCCCAGATCCCATGAACCTCCGAATCTCAAGACCATCACGGGCTTGCCGGTTGGAGTCGTTAGAGCTTTCAACTTCAACTCTTTCAAGCCAGCAACCACCCCACACAGAGCTTGAAGCTCTGAGGCCAGGGTTTGGATCCCCCCAAAAGTGCTTTTCTTGCAAATTCCGGCAGATGATCCCGTCTTCGACTGTGCTAGTAACAGCTGCGTCATTCCTGGCTCTCTCCGTGGATGCGTGGATGGAGCAGCATGCGGGCTTTTGTCTCGGTGAGAACTCGATGACAACTTGGCGGTGGTGTAGGTGCCAATGTGCAAACTCAAGAGCTCAACTTTTCTGAAGCCCACCCCCTCCAAAACAAAACAACCCGTAGAGCCCTCTCTCGCCAACCCCAGATCCGCGCGTAGGCTTGATGCCAATGCGCTGGCTCTCCTTTGCAGGCGTGGGGGATGGGCAGAGGATTTGAGGAGACTGCAGAGCATGGTGGCCGACTTCTCTGGGCAAAAGGCACTCCGGAATCGAGTGTTCAGACACTGTTCAGATCTGTTCAGTACGTGCTCAGCCGTGTGCTGTTTTGGGTTTAGGGTTTGGGGTTTAGGGGGTTTCTAAGCAATGCGAAGCCCTTCAAGTCCCGCCGGGCCCAAAGCCCTAAACCCAAGACCCTGCAAGACCCTTCACGCTTCACCCTCAAGGGCTAGGAATTCCACTGCCACAAACTGCCGCAACCCGATCTACGCACTGCCAGGCAGTTACCTGAAATGGGTGTACATGTAGGTTTGGAAGCTCAAGGGGAAACAGCTGTACAGGAGCTTGACTTAACATGCCGATGCCTTCGGCAGTTTCTGGCAGAAAGATTTGGACCTTCTCACAGGATGCTGTTTCCAAAAAAGCATTCAGGTACGTAGACCGTAGAAGACCGTAGAGGACCGTAGAGGACCATAGAGCAAGGGTTGAAAGTAGTTTAGGTTCCAGCTCTGATCAGCTCTGCTTAGGGCTTCGTGATGCATGTAGAAACAGGGTGCATGGAGGGATTTGAGCAGGAGCAACCTTGCATCCACGCAATCCGAGACACTCCATTAACTCCATTGCAAAGATCTGAGCAAGCAGAGGTCCACAATGCCAGAAGCTTGGAAGAAACTGGCGTGTTTCCCGCGCTGCTGCAAATTTGGAAGAGTTCACCAAACAAGGTGCTTCAAATGCAAAGCACAGAAAACAGCTGAGCTGTTTCACTGATCGTGGGCGCGCGCGACACTCCAGTGACAGAAGTGTTGTCTTGCTTGAGATACGCTTAGGGAATGTATCTGTTCCACAAGATATATGGTCTTTGGAAGAACATCACCTACCACCCCTGCGTCAAACCTACTAGATGCTACAGTGAAGCCAGACCTCACCATTACAGCACAAGCCTGTGCGGAACGCCCGCTACATACACAGTGGGCCCTTTGAAGATAGGGCAGATGGGTGAGCTAGCAAGTCTGCAATAAAGTGCGTTATAAGTGGGTTGAGGAGGGTCTCAGAATAGTACCTTCCGAGAAAGATAGGAAAAGACGAACGGTTTGCAGCAAACGTAGAGAAGATAGTGGCAGCAAAGTGCCGGCAAAGATGCATTGGCCGCCGAGAGATTTAATGTCAAACAAATAGATTTGACTGAGGAGATGGCTTTCCGAAAAATTCTGGGCGCCTTCTTGGTGTTCGCAGGGTGGTGTGTCGTTACCCTGGCGCGAACGACGATGCTCTCGATGGATCGGGCATGTCACGGTGCTGCCGTCTGACAAGCTTAAAAGAAAGTCCAGAAGCACCTGGTTTCAGGAGCCTCGTCCGCGGCTTCTTCTCCAGCCGTGGTGAATTGTGCGTGACCTTCCAGATTTTCTGACTGAACCTTGTTCAGCTGCCGGGTTAAACGTCTGCGCCGCATCGCTGCCGCATTGTTGGCGCCGAGATGCTGTGGAAAATGATGTCTGTGATGGTGTATGAGATGATGGATGAGGTGGCCCACGTTATGAACTGTGTCGTTGTGTCGTTCGCCTGACTTTTGGGCTTGCTTTTTCTTCAGGGTTTGATGTGGTCTTAATCGTGGATCAGAAACGCTTTTCGGGACAACCGTTCTCTTAGGCGATTTCCTTGAACAAGGGAATTGCAGACATCTAGAGAGTCTAGGCCTATTGAAAAAACAGTTTCTTAACATTCAACAATCGGGCTGATTTAGGAATGTAAGGAATATGAAGAATCTAGTTGAATAAATTCAGACCACGGCTGCTTGCCTAGAGTTCTTGGAGAGAGGACATGGTCCATTCCGCTTTGGATATTTTGACAAACTGTTGGAATTTTGGGATTCTTGGAATAGTTCGAATCAGGACGGTGGGTTCGTTACACTAAGCACCAAGCAAATGTGCCACCCGGGTTGGTTCTAGGGGGGCTCTTACCTTATATATATATATATATATATATATTTACATGTATATGTATACATATATATATATATGTATATATACGTACATATATTGTATACCCGACAATGCCTCGATCGCTTTCCGGGAGAAGTGCTTGAAGTACCTTTTGAAGTAAGCAACGTTTGAGTTGGGGTTCCATTGTTAAGCCACCTTTGTACACCCGGCCTACCTACACCAGAGTCACACTGCGGCGAAGGCAACAAGCAGGTCACCTCCTCGAAAAACTTCAACGATCGCATTCCAATTCCTGCTCACTCGAGACATGAAGCTGCAGTATGGCGACAAAGCTTCCGTGATTCCTGAAAGGTTTAGGCTTTGCCTCAAATTCTACTTTGCGCTGCCAGACCTGACCAGTGAGTGTGTGCTAGCTGCACTGCTAGCTGCTAGCTGCTGGCTGCTACATCTGCTATGCAACCTTCCGCCTCCCCTAAGCGGGGCACACTGAACCCTAAGGTCCAGTGTCCTAACGTTCAAACCCCTCCAGCAAGCTTGAAGTCCCTGAGCCAGTCCTGAACCATTTGAAGCCCCCCAATGGCTCCTCGCTTGGACGGGCGCGCGCCAGGGGCTCAGAGCCCAACAGAATGTCCCGATGCATGGTTGCTGGGTTCAGACACCCATGGCGACGGACACAGCAGTTTCGCAGAAGCCATCGGGTGCCCTGCCGAGAGTAAATCGTGTCACCGTGCTTTGGGCTGAGTGTGAGGTTTTGGATCCGCATTCGGGCCCCGGAGGGTTTCCAATGACAAGCCATCTGTCACAGAGCGATTGCCGATGGTCCCAAGTTGCTCTGCGACTCCCCCCCGAAGCTCAACAAATAACGGCCAGGCCCAACCAGCTTCGGCCACCGCACGTGGAGCTTCGGCCCCTCTTGCGCGCGGCGCCGCCGGCGCGTTTGAAGAGCCACACGGGGCATCACAGGGCATCACAGGGCATCGCAAGGTCCCTCAAAAAGGAGACCTCCCAATTCCTGGCGAAGCTTTGTTGTTATTTGTTTTGGCCAGGATGGCTCCGCTCGCTTCAAGTTTGGCAACAGCTCGGTCCTGGCGGCGGCCAGGGACCCCAGAAGGAGCCCCAAAGGGCACCCAAACTCCTGTTTGGAGCTCTCTGCGTTTGTTCTCTTTATTTCATTTGTCTTGTGTTTTTTCTCTTTTTTTGTGTGAAAATGTATTGGGAGTGTTACGGTGTTGCGGTGTTGCAGGGGGTTGCGGTTCGGTCTTCTAGCTCAACTGCGACCCAGCGCTTCCCGACTCATTCCGAACTGAAGCCCAACCTCCCAATCGCCAGAACTGTCCCAGCCTTTCAAAATGTTGGACTCTATGGCTTCAAAAGCCTGATGCTCCTAAGCTCAGACTGCCCTGGACGCCTGGCAACCACGTGAGCTTGGCACATGTTTCTTGATCGCGTTCTGATATTTCTCATTTACATGTTTGAAGGCAATCGCTGCGGTTTTTGCACTTCATGCCGTGAGCATTCGTCAATTTGGAATAAGTTGAACAAATCAGCTTGTAAAAGAACAACACCGTCTCCGAGTAACAGCCCCCCTTCCGCTGGAGATTATGTCAGAACATCAACATCAGCGAGTTTTGTGGCCAAAAGCATCAGCCAAAAAACAAGTGCACCTTTGACCTGGAACTCGTGGAACTCTGTGGAACTCTGTGGAAGCTTGCAATGCACAGCAAAGCTCAGACCTGATCCTCCAGCTCAAGCGAGAAGCAAACAACAGCAACACGATTGTGCGGCAAGTTTTGGCTGTGCTGTACCAGCACTCAGAAGTGTGCAGCGCCTTGCCCTTGCCAGCACGCAGACCAGCGCGACAGAGATTTGCCAAAAGGTTCACAGGCTCCGCGCCCCGCGTGGCCCGCTGCCTCTTGGAGCTGCTTCACGTGCTTTTCATGCCACACTCTTGCCACAACTTGAGAGGGTAACCCCTGTGACGCGTGGTAAGTTGCTCGGCCTGCAGCGCAGGCTTCGTACATGAAACTTCGCGCACTTGGTCATGAGATCTTGGGGGTGGCGGTGTCCGTCTGTCCGTCTGTCCGTCCGTCCGAAGTCGGTTTGAGAAGGCACTTTGTCAGGATCCTAGTGCGCATCAGCATTCAACCATGAATGCCCCTGCAATCCCCTGCCGCCCCGCGCCCCCCCCCCCCCCCCCGGAGACGCCCAAAAGCTGACAGAAGCCACATGAACGGTATCTGCATGCCCAAACTAGGGTTTATTGCTTCAGGGCTTTACGGGAAGTCTATATGTGGCACGCTTTCGCGTGCGGGTTGGGGTACCTGCGACCGCTCAGCGTGGTGCTATCCTAAGCGTGCTGTCATGACACCATGAAGGGACGCAGCGATGATTCCTGGCGCAAATGGTAGTAGTTTGGGCAACGCATCCGATGAACAAGCTCCATTTTGTTTGCCTTTCTGTCTCAATCGCGTGAAGGTCAGTGCTTCCGTGTCTTGTTCCCAATGCTGGCCATGAAGCGAACCGTGCGCGCCTGCCATCGGCCCGAATCATGCCAAGCCCTTTTGCCCGGGGGCGGGGGGAGGGCAGTGGAGAGGTGGGAAGAAGACCAGGTCCTGTCTGCTCCAGACGCCCTGTCGGCCGGAGGCCGAAGCTTAATTTCTATACATCAATATTGTAAACGGATATATAAACATAAGTATGCGCATGTGCATAAGCAGAGGGGTGAGAGGGGGGCCTGGCTTGCAGTTTCGTGCAGGTGTGTTGTTTACAGCACCCTCTAGGTGACCCCGACCTGGGTTTCTCAGGTCTTCGGCCCGCGTGAGCCGCGAAGCCGCGCGCGCGAGGTCTTCGACCGCGCAACGTCCGGCAACCCTGTGCAGCACAGGGCTTTTGTGATTTTTGATCTTGCAGGCTCCATAGCTTGAAAAGGTTGGGCCTGGCCATGTTTCTTCCCTTTGAAAGGTTGGGGGCCTGGGCAGGAGCTGACACTTCGTTTGGGTCCGCAGAGC